TTAGAGCCAGGTTGTTCTAACCAAACTGCAAGTATTATGCCAACCCATTCAACATTTCCATCACTGCAATCTTACAGGCTGATTTATAGTACTCTTTACCAGCATCTGCAGGTGGGTTTTGTATTCTTTCTAGACCATGCAAATATTAGTTATTTTAAATTAAACGAGGCAACTTTCCTTTCTGCACCTCCTGTAAGAGAATGACCTTCAACACAGAGGACAATAATGTGTGCCAGTTGCACAGAGCTTAAACTTTTGAAGTGTGATTTAGAAGGGCCTTAAGCTGTTGCTCTGCCTTTGGTGGTGAACTTCAGCTCCTGAAATATAAAACTGAAGGAAAAGTACAACCCTTCTCACTGCTTCTAAACTTTTTTTTTTGTGTGTGTGAAGTGGAAATTTATCCATTATACTGATTTACTCTATCACCTGCTGATCAGACTGGAGAATATGCATCTCCTCTCAGCACTCAGCCTGCAAATCAGAGACTACTACAACAATATAAATATTTTAAATGCAAAGATAAGCCATTACATGCGTATTTTCATTGTCAACATTTCTCAAATCACCCCATGCGTTCACAGAAAAAGATCTCTTGAGTAGACAGCCACTTCTCTAAATTCCCATAGGGTGTCCACAAAGTTGCCACTATCCAAATTAGTTTCTACCCAGGAGGAAGTGGAAGAAATTCAGACAACTTACGATCTCCTTGACAACGCACGGGACCCACAGACACCTTGGCTTCAGACCCAGGCCGGTCAACGTCTCCAACCACCACCTGACTCACTGGCAGGTGCTCTTTGTATGACAACATCCCAGCATCTTTTCTCCTGAATTACACAGAGAGAAAAAGAAAGCCATGGTGGAAATGTATTAAATTATTTTCCTTGATCATTATTACTGTTCACCAGTCTAAGCACCAAAAGAATAGGTACACAGCAATCACATCAGTACACCGTTACTCTCTAAAAACCCATCTCAAATTACATCGGTTTGACCAGTAACACTGCCTGCTCACTGGAAAAAAGATGGATAGCAGCTGCCAGGAACACACTCAGAGTAGCTGCTTGCTTTCTGGCCAATCCTGAACTCAGCTGGGGTGGGGTGAGTACTTGATCACTTTGCTGAGGATCTGCTTGACTTCTGAGACGGAGAAAAATCCTTATGCATCCTAGAAGTGTATCTGTTTAATCTAGTTCCTGCAAGTTACTATCCTATCAATACAATTTCTCCATATCAAGCAAACAGTGCTTCCTTCATATTTAACATTTCTAGTATTATGTAAAAAAAAGAGAGAAATTAAAGATTAATTATCTCAAAAGGCTTCTTATCTAGGTCCTGTGATTTCTAACATTAAGTGCCTAAATTAAAAAAATCTAAATTTGCAGATCTAACTGTGAGTATACAGCTCAAACACCATTTTAGTTAGCAAGATCACTAGAATTCAATTTATAGTCATGCTTTAAAGCTCCTCATTTCAACTGCAGCAAATCACCTAGTGTCTTTCCGTGCCTAGACCAAACCACCGTGTACGGTTACGTCATTTTTCCTTTATTATTTCAAGAGCTGAATCCAGCTGGCTTGTTAAGTGCTGTTTCTTCCTAACAGAAAATGAAATAACCCAAATTTAATTTGGTACTTTATTTCTCAGCTGGTTGGTTTTTGGTTTTTTTTGGTGGTTTAGGTTGTTTGTTTCTTT